CTTTATCCCTCCTGCTTTAAGCACATACTTATATCTAGGCACATATTTACATCTTATAATACTTTAAGCTCTTTGTTTTTAAAATAATGTCCGAGACATGCTAATATAAACCATAAATATAGGCTACAAAGAATTTCCAAAATTGAAGCAATAAGACTAACAAAAACACACATGAAGCAGAACATTTTCTAAAATATTACATTCTTGCCAAAAAAACCCAACTGTTTGTCTCAACATCAGCTCCATGGCCAAACTAAGAGCAAACATCAAGTGACGGTGCCAGAGTGTAACGATCTTGAAAATACAAAAAGTGAGGCATTTTCTCTAACTTTTATCATCACGCTGTAGTCTTGCTTTGTCTTTAGTTTTATCATATTTTATCACTGGGAGCAAAACTTCAATATAAAATGTCAAATGGGCTGTATGTGTACATGACCTTGTAGAAGCAAACACCCTCACTCCCGCAGGATTCCACGGCGTGGAGCGTTCGCATCTCCCCTTGGTAAAGAAGCACGGCCACCTAACCAGTGCCCTTCTAGAGGACTGTCATCCTTACTAAGAATGAACAATGTAATACAAAACAGAATAGTAAAAGACAAACAGATATCGTGGAAGCTTATTTTATTACACTTTGGTAAGTATGGTTTCCTGTGGATCAAGACAGATAAACAAGCTGCTTGAACACCTCCCTGCTCCCCAGTATAGTCTGGTATCATCTTGCCCTGTGCTACTGAGGAGACTTTGGATTGATAATAGATAGAGACATATCATTACAAAGAATGATTTTTCTAATGGTAAAATTATTTTTTAACAAAAAGATGGTTGAAGAATTTAGGCTTAATTTAAAAAAAAATGAAATGACCTAATAATGCAAAAAATGGAATTTCTAGGTTGATGAAATGCTGATTATAATTTAACAGCAGCCATTCAGAAGACATGCTGTAGTAGATTTTTTTCACAAGTTTCAAAATATATACACAATATATAATCTCAAAATGCCTTTGGCATTCAAAATGTTAATTGAAATACAGAATCTAAAGCTCAAAACTACTGTAGGTAGCTCTTCTACAAAATTTTTACAATGGCTGTAAAGCTAACTGTTCTGAGTATATGCATCATATACGATGTGCTGTCTCATATACCATTTTCACAACAGTACACAAAAATATTTTAAACAAGAAATCCACATAAATAAGGTTTCCATTGTAGTGAAGTATGTGACCAATTTTTCAAATAAGTACCTTTACAACAGAAACACATCCTTATGTAACCAGCACATACAGTCTGAGAATAAAAGGGACTCAAATAATCTCTGATAAAGCCACAAGCACCTTGTGTTATGAAGAGCACCAAAGCAACACGGACAGAAAACACAGAAGAGGTAGTGTGCCATCTGTTAAGATGTACGTGTCCACATAGAACTAAAATAAAACAACGTTTAAGAAAAGATGTATTGTACTGTGGCATAATCCACTTTTCATATATAAGCTATTGCACATTTAGGAGCATTAGCCAGTATTGCTCCAGTATTGTATTTCTCCAGCTTTCCTTGGGATGTTTTTTTTTGCAGTGCTGTTAAAGAGATTGCTAAGAACACTAGAGGTCCTGAAAAATTCCATGTTCAGATTGTCAGTTCCAGGAAATTACACAAGAAAGCACCAACCAATTTTTAAAAAATACTTTATGGAAACTGTTGTAGTCTTTTCTTCCTTCCTTTCTCTTCTTTTTCAATGCCGTTTCTCCTTAGGAGGAAGTCTTTTTTTCTTCCTGAAGTTCTTTAACCAACACTGTTCAAAATGATTCTTCAGTTCCCTAATGGATCACTACTTTTGCATTCATTCAATGCAGCAATTCCACGTTGACACACAAAAAGCACGACAGAAACCTTAAAGGAAGCACACTGAACCACTTTCTATGAAGTGCTGCTGTCCTGGTTTGAGATGAGGAAGTGCGTTAACTTGAACAACTGGAAGCTGATTAGTGTCCTGAGTGTGAAAAAAGAACTGTGTCTTGTGCCAGCTGCCATCTGCAATCTGCAACACACAGAAGCAGAATGTTAGATTCATATCAAAGGTGACCTGCAAAACACAAATGGAAATTGTGCTTAAAGAGAGAGAGGAGGAGAAGTGTACAGGAACATTTCTTCTCCCAGCAGTTCCTAAAAAACCTGTGTAATTTAACAAATACCATTTCTCCCATTCAATACCACAGGCACTCCTGGCAAAACTGTAACTGCAAAAAAGCCCAGCCTGGAATCAACTGGAGTGGATGCAGACACCGTGCAACTGGGACCAGTTCTGAGTGCCTGTCACCTTGCAAGCAGTCCTGGGCTAATACAGACTCTTGAATCTTTTGCTAACTTCACCTCTGAATCTGAACAGTAGGTCTCCGGTTATGAACTCTACAGGCACTTTGTAGGCCCTTAAAGCATAATCGCAGGGAACGGGAGCTGCATTTTGCCATGAATTTTTTATTGATTATTCTACTCCTTTAAAAATCTCAATCAAAACCTGATACCTCATAAAAATTATAAAATAACATTATAACATTGCCTGAGGCTGGGAGTGTCTTGATGTTGGCAACCACTCCATTCTTAAAAACTATCAGGTACAGTGGACACCACTGAAAAGCGAAGTCCCTGCAGAGAGGGAAAAGTGTGAAATTCTTCAGCAGATCTGTACAATACATAGTTTCCCACAGAAGAAGTGCCAGACCTCACAGAATCTCACAGGCACCTCTCAACAGCCACCACTGGGAGGTGGGGAGAAGGGGCTTCAATGGCCATACCTTAGCTGCATGACACAGGCTAGAGTATCTCACTAGCGTCTGCTAACAAAGGTTGGCAGTATAACAGCTTTGAAGTGCCTCAATAAAACCACTTTCTGTCTTGAGTTTAAAAATCTCAGTTAACACTCCTGTATTGATTTGGAACCAGTCTCACATCTTTCATTATTGTAAATGAACGTAAAGCTATAAAATACTGAAAGTGTGAAGTGCTTGGCTGCTATATTTCATAGTGTTCTACCAAGACATTTACCAAATGGCTCACATCTTGGTGAATGGGGTAACCTAATAGGCATTAGAAAATTTATAAGATCTTCCAATTTTTTTTGAAATACAACTATGATTTAATATTTTAGGTAACCATGGAGTCAATTTCCAACCATCATTATTTTATGAAAAAACCAAACAACTGATTCATAGTCAATGAATTTAAAGATATCTAGTTGTCCAGCCTGTTTGAACCTGAGATTTTGTCTTAGATAACCTCAACAGAACTCTTACTTGAAGCTTGAATTTTCATTTTGAGAGTAACTCTTTCTAAAGTTATTTCTATTCTGATCTCTCTCTGTTGTCTTAGTAGAGTCTTTAAATATATGACACTCAATGTGAACAGCAAGTATAGATACCCTGTATTATTGCAATTGCTCTTACGTTTGGGTAGATGTTGAATACAATATCACAAGGTTGGCAGAGACATATGCAGAACAATGTAATAAGTAAGCTTCAAGGGATGTGAATCTAAATGATTGCTATTTATTTGTAGGAAGTTAATAATGCCTAAGCAGTAACTCTTATGGTTTTAATAATGCTAGTGCTAAAAAGTATTTACCATGCATTCATCCATAAGCACCTTTGGTTTATGCAGTGTATTTGCTTTAAATATTTGACCATTCCATCCTTTGAAGCTAACAGATGTTTTCTGGCCACCTGCTTCATTTAATCCCCACGCCGGTGTGTTCAGACAGTGAACTGTGATGCTGTGGGTTGCTTCTGAACTCAGTAAATGAAGGAAGTTCATCTGCACTTTTCCAACGCCAAACTCCAGCTAAGTTTGAAGAGAAATGCATCGTTAGACTTACAGCTGGACTATGCTGAATGGCCACAGCAACACAAAGTATGTGCACACATGTATGGTGTTCAGGCACGGGAGCACGTATACATGTTATACATTGGGATCAGTACCCAAGAGCATAATAGGTATCTTTCAGGAGAGCTGCTAGGTTCTATTGTAGTGATTACTATAAACAGAAGCTTTCATGGGACATTTTCAAAGCATAAATATAAACACTTGCTAATGCTTAATACATTGATTCTAGACAGAAAATACAGTTACTCACTATTCGACAAAAATTTCTCCAAGACTAGATCATATTCGGGGATTTTCCAAATGTAGGAATATCTATGGGAACTTTATGGTATTTCTGATGCTCTTTAATGACTACAGTGTACGTGCAAAACTCCACAAATATAATATTTCTATTCCCAAGGGCTTAAGGACAACATGTAAAGAAGACCATGAACTACGACATAAAGGAAATCAGTTTCTGCCTAATGGCATTTAAAAGTAGCTAAGCATTGGAAAGTAGTCATAAATTTCTTCCTTCTCATTGCAATGACCTCAGCATCTCTACACTTCGCTGCCCTGCGTGTTGAGTTACTAATGTAGTTTAGAAGCATGTCAGGCTTATTTTTATGCCTTGTATAAAAAAAGTATAAAGCAAAACAAAATAATTCTATCAGCATGGAAGGTGAGTAAATGAACAAAGTGAGAGTTACACTAACATGTATTGTCTCCAGAAAAGCTCTGACTTCTGTAACAGAATACATAACGTGTCTTTCCACAGTGATGCACATTAAAATCCCCCTGAAATCTAACATATTTTCATGAGTTTAGTAAATAAGCATTCATTTCTTCAGAGTTGCAGCACAGATACAGTCTCTCTGGAAGCAGTGCATACCTTTGTCACAGACAGTGGCATTAAACATGTCTGACCACCTGCAGTGAAGTTGCAGAAAACTTCAATGGCATCAGAAGGACATCCAATATTTGGGTCAATCCAGTATTTTCCTATTTGTATGTAATCCCAGATGGAAAATAAAACAAAAATATAATTGTTACTAAACAATTTGCTAAAAATTCATACTTTTTGGCAAGTATTAGATATAATAACACCACGGCTTCACTAGGAAATGAAAGAAAAGGAAGGCGAAAGTCTTTTCACTATTGTAATTCTACTAATAACAGATACTGAGCAAAATTATCATAACCATTCAATTCTGATTACATATACAATGACTTCTGAATACCGTCATAGTTTCAAAAATGTTTTCTCTTTCTACAGCTAACTAGTGAGAATAAACAGTATTTCCTGTCTGATCTTTCTGTATTAAAACTTAACTTCTTTTCTTTGGGCTTGGCTTTATATTGAGACTATGTTCAGGATGTAAAATAACAATCTAAATTCTCTTGCTCTCAGAGTATCTTGAAGATCCTTTCTTTCTCTACTATCTTTCTCCCATCAGACACTTCTACACGACATATCCTAGTGATGGTGATAAGGAGTATTTGCGATTGTGAATCCATGGGATTTGGTACAATAAAATTTTGTCCATGCAAATTATATCAGGATTTAGCTTCCCTTAATTAATGGTTACGTATGGGTGAGCCTGTGCTCTACAATGTATACAGGTGTGTGTAATCCTCTGAAGTGGAGGACTGCCAGTGACCTCCATGGCCCTAAATGACTGAGATTTACTTAGGAGACCACAGTTCTAATAAGGGTTAGGCTCATTTTTGTTAATGCTAATACTTGATAATGGGGATATTTACAGGTATTCATTATTTTATTAGCCACTCAAAAACTGAATTATGTCACAGTATTGACATTACAGGTTTAAATAATTATTTCAGATTTCAAATATTGATTCAGGATTTTCTGGGATACAACAACTGTTAGTGTATCTGACAGTGGTAGTGTATAGTATACAGTTTTGTCATTAGGAATCTAGAATCTGATCCACACAAAATTAATTGCAGATGAGCTATAAATACTTGGGAAACTTTTAATCACAAAATTGGATTCAGTTTCAAATTTGCTGGACACTTCTGTTTACTTGTACATATAAAATGTCTCTAATATCTGTATAATATTAGATAGCTACATACTCTTATCTTTAAAATGCAGATATTTTGTCTTAAACATAAAATAACGATAGCTGTGACAGGCACACTACAACAGAATGTAATAAAATGATCTACGCATTAGAATTTTTATGTAGAAAGTAACATTTGGAAACAACACACTTCAAAACCTAGTTGTGTTCAAGCTTTAATGAAAGTGGACACTTACCATCTGCCACTTTACGTTCACAGTTGAGCAAATCCCTGCAGACGCGTGCTGGGTTATCCCTTGTGCCAAGGGGGTTCTTGATGCTGTGCAGTAAATTGCTAAGGTAGTGCAGTGTTTTGAATATCTCTGTACTGTGATCTAGTAAAGTTACTTCAGTATTCTGGTATTTCTGCCAGGGGCCATTAGCAAATGTGTCACCACACAGAAGTATCGCAACAACAGCATATGCAGTAAAAGTTAAAGGGCCATTGAATAGCCAGACAGAAGCAAAGTATTTGTAATGCATGCAAACAGCCATATAAACCAGGGTAAGAGTAACATACTCCAATAAACAAATTAGTACATTTTATTAAAGTTATCAGAGCAGTGAAGTTACAGGCAGGTTAAGATCACACAAATACATCATTATGACGTGACATAAAATATGGATATGAGGAAAAAAAAAAAGAAAAAAAGAAAAAATTAGTGCATTTTTAAAGTACACTTAGCATTTTCATATTCCAAACAGTGAAATCTACTCTTAGACCTAACCTAGAAAATATATGCAAATACATTTGACTTCACCCATGCAAGGAATTTTCTTGCAATCAATGGGACCACACACTTGCATATAATAAGTATTTTTTGGATCAAGGCCTAAATGCCACTAGCATTATCTGTGGCTGAACAGAATAACCTGGTAGTTTCCAAGTCGTTTGCTCTTTCACATCAATTAATTCCCAAGTCAGATACAGTCCACTGTGTGTGACAGTCCCATTACTGCCAATCATAACAAAAAGGTAGAAATAGTCCTGTTTTTCTGAACTTCATTTCAACTGTATCCTATAAATCCTAGGATGTTAATTATATTCTACAGTAATTACTTGCTATTCATGATTCATTTTAAAATAAGTCTTTGTAAAGAAGCCCTGCTCTGTCTTCAAAACATAGAATTATAATTGCATACCCTATATGACAATGTAAATACATTGAAATATATTACCTCCATCTGCAGTGCAGCATTTGACTCAATCAAAGCTTGAACAGCAGCATTGATGTCCACTTGTTTCTGAAAAAAAGGATATTACAGAATATAAAGAGATGAACAGGAATATTCTAAAATGCAGTTGGTAAATTCTTTGGGCACCGTAGAATCATACATGATACCTTCATTGTTTTGTCATTTTAGAAAATAATTCATTGCAAACACTTACATTTAAAATAGGGTCCTCCCTTCCATTTCTAAGAATGCAAGCATGCACACAGAAGAAGCACATAAAGCATTTTTGATTTTTATTAGTACCCCCATACACAATTTAATGATGATACTCCTGGAACGTGGAAAAAAGGTTCTATAATAGTTGTTACAGACTAATGTTCCAACTTATTCCTCCCAGACATTTGATTTATACACTTTAAGAAAACCAATCCAGGTAAGTGTGAAAAAGTGTTATTCCTTTACAGAGAAGCACACAAAGAATATCTCAATCAGCCACCAGCAGCTGACAGATCCAAGTAGTCTTCATGATGCATGAACGAATACCAAGACTGACAAACTAGCTTCTGAAGAAGGAAGCCTGTTTCTTGCATATCTTCATTCTCTGCACTTTGTGTGATCTATATACTAGACCCAGCCAACAATTTTATTTATTTTTAAAGAATTAAGTCACCCCCACAAGCATCTAGTTCTTGCAATTTGTTTTGAGATTACATGTATCATCACATCTTTAGGACACTTCAGATACTGAGCCTGTCCTAACTGGGGATTAAATGAAGCAGGTGGCACACTTAACAAACTATCTGCGTGTATACTTACATAGGGAGAACACCTGGGCCAGAAATGGCACAAACCTTTCTGTTGCTATCTTTCAGAGTGTTCAAATGCAGAACAGGAGAAAAACCTTTCAGAGAGTGATGGAGTTAACCCATGTCAAAAGTATGAGCATGCCCACGAACATTGCCTCTTGAGGGCTCAACAGCATGGTAGAACAGAACTGACAGTGGAAGATGGAAGGTTCAAAAAATGTATTACTGTAGAGATGGAAGTTGTAGAAAAATGTATTAGCATTTCATGTGCAGTGATGCAACGCATTTGAAGAGGATCCTGCTATTTTCACTTTCAAAAAAGGACTGTATTGTAAATTAGAGTTGTTACAGAACTTACTCTTGGTCCTGGTGGTCCAGGTGGTCCCTGGAAAATGGGAGAAACCAGCTATTAGGTGCTTCAAATGTTTATATAATGCAATCACAATGGAAAATTACAGACATGTTTTTTTAATCCACTTACAGGTGGCCCTGGCTGGCCCTGAGGTCCCTGAGGCCCCTACAAGAAATTGAGATAAAATGAAACAATTAGATAAGCATCTCTGCTTTTGTATTTATGTATTTTTTTTTAAATCACAAAATACCACAATGTGTACAATGCAGAAAATGTGATACTGGTTTTTGGCAAAGATGTAGATTATTAGTTAAAATTGTTAAAGCACCATACTCTGTTAATGTGTGAATATTCCTGGATGAATTGCTGGGTTTCTGGTTACCTGTTTATCCAATTACTTCTGATATCAAAGGAACACTGGAAGTCATAAAAAGTATTAATATATAATGTGCTATATATTGTGCATTACATGCATGTTGCCAACACAAGTACTACAAGGGATGAGTGATCATAAAAGCATTGTAAATAATGTTATGGGTAGTTGTAAAAAACTAACTGATCTGCTTTATTCCATGAGTATCTGCTAGGCATTTTTTATCCCCATTTATGAGCAGTGTCAATTTTCAACCAGAACATGTTATGTTCATTGTTTAACAGTGGTATTGCAGGCTTCCTTCATACTAAAGAAGTTATGCTCTTATTTCCTCAGCGTAAGTGGCATCATTTTCGTGTGTAGGATTATGTAGTGGGGAGGAGAGGAGAAGGAACAGCTGCTTTTCCCTAGCTTATAGTGCCTACAATGCACTTAGTCTTAAATCTACATTTTGGGCTTTCATTAGGGTTGGACATGGACCCTCCCAAAAGCAATAACGCCATCTGAATTATCCTTTCTTTGAGCAACTATTCACATTAAGATGTAATGATTATGAATATTTATTAATTTACAGTGATACTTGTGTCTCTGTTAGATTCTCTTCTTCAATCGCTATACACTCAAAGCCTCTAGGAGCTGCTGTAACATAAACAATAGCAAGAACAATGACAAGGAAAAGAATAGGTGGCAGTGCTTTGATACCAGCAAAATAGAAGGATGAATGAAAGGCGTAGGCCAGACCTGCACCATGTATTAGTAAAACCTTTTAACGTAACTGAGTTAATTTAAGCAAAATATTATTTAGCAAGTGCTAGTTGTATCAATTATTTGAGCACAATAAGCTGTTCCAGCAAAAGTCCTCTTACACCAGTATAGTCATGCTAGCCTTTGCCAAAAGAGAAATAATCTTATCTGACATGGTCATGCTGACAAACGTTGCAAAACCTATCTACTCAAAGAGGTACTAAGTTGTAAATCACTTAATATAGTAATAAGAAGTATTCCTGCATCACAGCAAGACCTGTGCGAGTGTCACTGCCTGCTACAACTGCTGAACTTGGGCTGTGCTTCATGCTGCCACCAGCAAGGGCAGCTGGAATTGGTTAAGGACTCAATTAACACTGATTCATGTAAATTTAAAAAAAGGATCTCAAAGCAGGTAAGAGTGACTTAAGTCACCAAGGCACCAAATTTATCAGCTCTTAGGAGAACACCAGCTACATTTCTTGCTATCTTGAGACATATTCATAAGGCAGAGCACATGGTAGCTACTGGGGAATGCATTTGTCAGGGGTCACAATGACCTCCACAGCTGCACAAGTTAAGTGTGCCAGCCCATCACCTGCCCTGGCCATGCCCCTGGGGCTCAGGTGCTGACTATGAAGGGTGTGAAAAGTGGGGGCCATCATGTAATTCCTAGCACCAGATCCATACCAACAAGGCTATGTTTAGGGACTGCAAATGGCTTTGAGGTCGAGCCCCATGGTTTATACATGTTCTTTGGAGAACAGGGGAGAATCAAAACTGAAGCAATTTCCGTGTGCTCAGAGGGATGGTCTTCTGATACTTAACTAAGACAACCTTAATGGCATAAGCTCTAGGGACTGTAAATATTGTCAGCTTTTCAACTGATACATCTTGGCCCTATTTATGTTTCATCCCCTTATACCTATAGAAGGGAATCTATGCCATCTTTTTGATAAATATTTACTGATATTTTATAAAGACATTAATGATTAATGTTGGAAAATGGAAATCAAAGAATAAGTCATTTTAGCATATACAGTAGTATAGAAAATGCTGTAGGTTCTGTGGCAAGTACCTAGCTTCCCTTTACTCTTCTGTGTTTGATTATTGCACAGCTTGACATTTTCTATTAAATAGAAAATATTACTATTAAATAGGCATAAAATATTATTGTTATTAATTATTACAAAAGTGATGAGAGAGAAGTTTGCAGAGATGACATTCACTGTTTTGGCATAGTCCCTCACCTGTTTCAAATCAAGTGGGTTTCACAGAGCAACACTGTTGTACCCCAGCTGAGAAGGCTGACCTCCACATTCAATTAATCAGATCAGCAACTCAGGTGCTGTTAGACTGCTGCAGGATACCTTCAGTCCCATGTGGATATATTAACTGAACTGTACGACCATGCTTGGTGAAGTATGTTTAGTATAAAATGAAAGAGAAAGTGTAGAAAAGAAACTGGAGAGATTAATTTGGCAGTGTGAGGACATATTTGTTTATCTTGATTCAAGACTTGATTATGCAAACACCAAGTCAAGGCAAGGCACAAAGTCTTCAACAGTTTGTCCCTAAGTAACCACTGCTCTCTGATGAATAGATGTCCTTGTTCTGCATGCCGAGATTTAGACATTCCAGTGGATTTTTCAGATGACTGAATGCTTCAGTTAATATTAGTGTTCTTGGCATGTGTCACAATTCTAAGACTCAAAGTCTTGGGACAAGAACAGTTCAAATTTATAGTGGTTGCTGAGACAGAACTGAGTATTTTAAAAGTCTAAACCTGCACTGTTCCAATGAATTTAAGATATTTTGCAAAAGAGGAATGTGATTTGTCTTGATTCACTGTCTGCTTACCAATAAAACCAATGTGAAAAAAAGGTAAATATTTAATGCTATTTGCTAACTATAGTAAACTACTTTGGGGATATTACATTTCTTAACTGCATCAGAACTTCAGAGGGCTATATCAATTACCTTTACAAGCCTTTAAAATATAACAAAACTGCACAGAGTGTGTTGACAATCCTGTAGACATGTTATAAATGTTCTTTCTGTTGTAGAGCAGCAAAATAAGGTTAAATTACACTTTTCATGGATTAAGTTAATTGCTAAATGCTTTACTGGAATGCACAGGATTACCTTTACAAATCTACTTAATTTACCCTTTGATCACATTAGAATTTAAGTGAGAAAGGTGTAATTCCAGTTCATAACAACAAAAGCAGAGAATAGTTTTAATGTGCTTTTTAATTCTTTAATCACCCACTTTGATTGCTAGTACAGAAGTTCAAAGGCCAAAACTCCAATCTTTTTCTAATACTGTAAGGCCCTGATTTTACATGCAGTGATACATACGCTTAACTTTGAAAACATGAGCAATCCCAAGGACTTACATATTTGCCATGACTTTTGAAATTTTCCAAGGAACAGGAATTATTTTTAACAAGAATTATTAATGTTAAGCTTTCCCTGACCACTTCTGTCATTTTATGTTATGTCACCATATCATAGGTAAAGCCTAACAACATCCTGCAATATAACAGACTGATACACAATACAGTGTAGTGGCTGCCATTAACGATCGTAAAACTAAAATGAAAGATCATCATAGAAAATTACAGATTATGCCTTAACATATTGTATCTTTTTTTCACCGTGAGGAGAGTCACGCACTGGAACACGTTGTCCAGTTCTCCATCCCTGGAAGTTTTCAAGACCCAGCTGAATAAAACCCTGAGCAACATGGTCTGATCTCAGAGCTGACCCTTTTTTAAACAGGAGGTTGGTCGAGAAATGCCTTGAGGTCCCTTACAACTTGCATTATCCCATGACTCTATATTATAATGAATTATGTTACATGCCATGAAATAAAAAAAAAGAAAGAAAATTAAAACACACTTTCAGAAATGTCAGAATTATGAAACTATATTCCAAAATGTATTCCATGTTTTTCTAAATGTTTCAATCACAGTGATATTAATATTTTGAATTGAAATATAATTTTGTTTAAAATTTTACGTTACCAATTTTGCTCCAGAAATAGCCTACAGGACCTGAACTTTGGTTCACCACTGACCTCAAGAAGGAGACATGATTTTACATTCTATGTTTTTCAGGGGACAAAAGGACATTTCTTACTAGTAAGGAACATTGTATCCCTGACAGACTAAAAACTGTAGCTAAAACTTGACTGCTACAAAAAAGTTAAAATCTTTGTCATTCTAAGAAGAATGCCAATATCAATTTTAAAGATATAAATTAAAGCTTGGAATACACAGTTGGTTGAACATCCTTTTCTCTCCTTTGTATCTGAAAATAGTTGGAAATAAATCCTTTTCTGGGCTACATATTATAAACTAATGCCACTGTGTATGATTTAAAATTAAACATTCTTCTAAAGACAGTCTTAGGACATGAATTCATCTTGATGAATTCAGTAACTTATTTAGGAAGTAACTTCTTTAACACCAGCACCAATAATGGAAACAGGTGTCTCTTGTTCACCATTTTGGATGTTTTTTATTATTATTTTTTAAGTGTCAGCATTTTTAGCTCTATGCTGTTATAACAATTCTTAGGAACAAAGAGTAGAAAAAGATAGTTAAAATGGTTTAATGGCAGCACAACTTAAGGAAGTAGTTTTCCTCTTATTCTGAGATAGCAATTGTCTCAAAAGCATTAGAATCAGAGGAAAGTTCCCCAAGAGATGTACAGCAAACTTAGTTCCAAGCCTTAATTCTTTAAGCAATTTTGAATATTTCAGATTTATTTTTAAAAAATTGTATAAGGCATTTAGGCTGGAATTGGAAACAGGTAGCTGCTGAAATAAAATACAATAAGACAGAAGAAACTAAATGATTGTAAGTGAGGTGGGTCTAAAGGCAGGGTAAGAGCAACAGGAACGAGATCACATTGGCCAGTTACTGGAAAGGGAACTACTTATAAACCTGACATAAAGTAGTGTCATAAGTATCAACTATCATTGTTTTCATATGTGCTGTAAATATGATAATTTCTTCTCACATAGCCATTATTAATTGGAGCCTTCACTAACTCTAACACAGTTTTTTAATCAAATCAAACACTAATGTACAAAACCTAATGTAATATTCTTCCTGAAAAATGAAAGACAACTTCATAACCTATCAATGCTTCCTACTGCTCTTACAGCTAGCATACATGGCACGGACACCCATTCTCAGATCTAGGCTTCTCCTGACCTCCTCCCTCTCTAGACAAGATCGTATAGATGTATGGACACGCGTGTGCATGCTCCGCTGTAAGGCACTGGAGCACTGACAACAAATGTGACACAGGATTTTTCTTTTAGATCTGAACTGGGACAGATTTGAAGTATGTGACTGCTCTGTGATCAGGGGCCATGCTGCCCGGCAGCACACACCCACTGGGCAGATCTACTTAAGTCAACTTGAAGAAGAAAATGTCAGACTTTTGACTCACGCTACGAGCTTTCTTGGCCAGCACTCTCCAGGAGCACAACACGACTGTCTGGCATTCAGAGCACGCCCTAATACATTCAGAATAACATAGGAATAGTTTTCACACAGCCAAAAATATGAGAGCACAAAAGTTGTTTCATCTTACCATTTCACCCCGTGTGCCTTTTTCACCTCTTGGTCCCTGTAAGAAAGGGAAGCTGTTAATTCAGTATGCTTTCTAGCCACCTAGGACTGAAATAAGCATATTAATATTCATGAGAGTTATACTGCTTACATGAGAAGTCCAGTCTCATCTGTGGAAGTATTTACAACTCTGGGGCTTTAATTTTCCTGTACTATTAGAAAGCTAAATTACTTGAAAACATCTTGTGATTCCTATATGTGGAAAGCTGTTGTTTTTTTCGGATTGTATGGTTTTTTTCTCAGTAATTTTAACTTTCAGTGTTCTCCCTGTCAATCAGCTGTATTCTCTACAATTTGCTCCACTGTCATACATCAGTGCTTCACCATCTTAAGAGAAGAGCACAGAAGTCGGTACCCTCCGTCACTGAAGAAATCCATTGTTTACATATCTGTTTTTATTACCCCATTAGTTCTCCTCCCACAGTCAGATTAGACACTGTTTTTCTGTCTCTGTGTCATTTTTGACAGTTTTGCACTTAAACTGTGTTTCTGAAGACAGTAACAATCTTACAATTCTTCTCTGGAAGAATTTGGCGTCTTGATGGCAGCATTTCATAACACCCAGAAGGAATCTTTGAATGTAATGACTTCTTAATGATAATGGCAAACTGTTACATTCAATATGAAGTCTATTAAAAGCCATCATACAAGTATACACAACTGTAAAGTTTTCCTCCTGAGTGGGATTGCAAAGAGTGCAGCAACAATTAAAGTATTGTCTTCTTCCCAACAGCTGGAAAGAATAGTCTAATCATGGAAGGAACATTTCCCTCCTCTTTTCTTTTTCACCTGTAAATATTTGTATGGATTACTTTTATTGTATATTCCTGTTATTTTTATGATTATTATTCAAATTTTTACACATTCTTATGCACTCCAAGTCTTGTTGATCAAAGGAACTTGGGTGGTACAAAGAGCTTCTAAAACTACCTTACATGGCGGGGTGGTCTGCAGACACGAGCCAGAGGGTGCCTTTGCAGAACACTGCTCTGTCTCTGGCACAGGGAACGCCACAAGGGGTGGAAACAGGGATGAGGGCAGAGCTCCCCGACTGCAGAGAACGTGGGGTGCATTGAAGGTTTCAGAAAGGCCAAGAAGATGTTTGAGTTGTAACAGGGACCTCACCAGCACCTGGAACACCCCAGCAAGAGCCTGTGGGCACCCCAAGAGAGTCTAGAGGGGCACTCTGGACAGTTCAGCCCAATCAGCACATAAAAGTAAACTACATTGAAACCGAGTGTGGATACCCTTTAGATACATCTCAGACCTAAGGTTGAGAAAGAATATTCATGTGGCAGTTACTATGTGCTGTTTTACACCTTGACCCCTGCAGGCATGCCCTCTGTATACTGTACTTACAAGGCCATTGCAATGAATTTTTGTCATTGTTTTTCATCATTTTTTTCTTGTTTGTATTACAGATGCTGGAGTCACACATGTTAGCTTACCAGCATGGTATAACATGAAGATGATCCTGCTAGTTGCTATTTGCAAATAGAAAAATGGGAAGACTGCTAGTTGCAAAACAGATTATTAAAAATAAAGGTAGGTGAAATAACCAAATTATGCAAAAGAGAAGGGAAACTTACAGGCCTGCCAGTTGGGCCTGTTATGCCTTCTTGACCAACAGGGCCAATATATCCCTGTAAACAAGCAAAGAATTTATTAGTCCACCATGTTTTAAAATGAACCAAATCCTCATTACATGTCCTGGTTTAAAGCTGCTCAGCACACAGCCCTGGCAAATATCCAAAAGATCATGGTGATATTCTTCTTCTGAATATTGAGTGCACATTGGTACAAAATCAGCAAGGCAATTATTTTAATAATTAGTAATAGTTAAGCTTGGAAGGCCCACACACATTCTTTTACGTGAAAGCTGATGTGTTAAAACCAGTGAAAACTTAAGTACTCTAATTACGAAAGAGCACATATTTATTGCGCTACAATCAGCTGTATTTTGAGCTATATTACTGCCCACAAGTACTCTTGTAAGACTGCCAATAAGTGCTGCTAACCTGTTACATTCCTGTTCCATTTCACTTAGAGCAAACTGCTCATTTCTCCTGTTTATCTTGCATAGGAATGTTTAGCTATTAGAAAGCTGCTGCTGTGCATCTGGATAACTGAACTAATTCAGTTCTGTGATGGCAATGGCAGCAATATGAGAAAAACATTTTGTTGTAAGGCCTTCCATGCTGCAATCTTTCCCCCTTTTTCCTTTTTTACTTGATGCTGTAAGCTGGATGCACACTCCTCAATATTACAAAAGCTAAAGATGCTTCCACAGTTTTGGTGAGTAGCAAAGTAGGATGTCATGAAGAAGGTGTCATGAAGAATGAGCTATGCAGTTTAGTAACTTTATAGATAAAATGGAAATACTAAAAAAAGACTGCCTATTAATCAATAATGCTTGAACATCACTGTCTTACTGCAGGAAAAGTTCAACCCTTTTTTCTTTAGCTGTAGGACAGAGTTATATAATCAACACTGTTAGGAGTAAGAAGAAAGAGAATGTTCAACCCCAACAGATAAAGATACGACATCAATAAGGATACTCATGTAGATAAAACTATACTAGGAGAGCCACACTTTGTTAGCAGAGATTGCTTTTTTCCTTCAAGACAAGAGCCCAGTTCTGTATATCTGCACCCATGTTGCAACCACAGCAGTGTTGCAGTACAGGCAAAGGGCTTCTAGTGGAGGCAGGGTCTCAGAGAGGTTTGGTTAGAGGGTTCCAGCCTTGTTAATAAGAAAAAAGATTATTTCCTAAATTAAAAACATGTGCCACTTGGAAGCCATCCTGACAATCTCCTTCACGGAATGCAACACTTACAACTTGGCCTGTTGGACCTTTTGGGCCCAGAATTCCAACTAAGCCAATGTCCCCTGCAGGACCCTGAAAAGACAAAGGAACAGTTTAGGCAAATACGGACATCAGCTATCCACTTGTTTTCATCTCTTGTAATCAGTGGAAGTAAGATAATTCTAAGAGCAGTAACGCTGAAAATACCAAGCATGCTGACACAGAATGTTCGTCTTTGGACATCGAGTACACAGTTCTACCTACAATGTTCCTACCGTTCAGACAGATTTTTGAACAAATTATTGTTAAAGCCGATTAATTCTATGCTTTCCTAATGTTCTCACTCTATAAATGGCTTAAGACCTAACAGAAAAGAATGAGCACATACTTTTGGACCTGGGAATCCTTGAAACCCCATTAAACCTTGATCTCCATCTTCTCCCTGTAATAGAAGCAGGCATCCTTACTATTATTTCACATCAGTAACTCTCAGACTACTTGTTTTGCATCAACAGAGCTCTGATTACGTACAGTCTGTCCTTTCAGTCCAGCATCTCCTGCTGGTCCTTGGTCACCTGGTGATCCTGGAAGGCCTCTTTTTCCTCGCTTTCCTGGATGGCCCAGAAGCCCCTTCTCACCCTGTGAATAGGATGATATTACATTTATTACAATTATGACAGTTGTTAAGTGTAAAGATTGGTTTCCTGGCAGAAGTGTGGAATATGTTTTCTCTCTAAGAAATAGACCTACTCCAATAATTTTATTTCCATCAGGAATGCTTTCAATAATTATACTTTCAGTAAAATGCAAGCGTGACTTGACTGCTCCTTGACTTGGAAACAGACAAAAACCATATATGTTGGATCATTTCCAGTATGGCATGTTTCTGTGCAAGCACTAAAATTCACAACATGAAATACAGAAGAGGCAGGTTAGAAGTAAATTTTTAAAGTAATCCTCTGAGCAAAGCCTAGAATAGTTGTGGAAGTCCTTGCTGTTAGACTAAAAGTTTACATCAATTCAAATAGAAACTAGACAAGTTCATGCAAGAGAAATCCTCTGAGGACTATCAAATACATAGAAACCATGGAGGCTACTGAGCTGCAATAAAGGCTGGGAATATACACCTTTCACCCTTGCTTTATGCATATGCTCTAACAAAGACAGACTTTTGGCGTGACTCAGTATGTCCACTCTTAATGTTTCTTTTGTGCTATGTGGTAACAGTTTTCCCCCATCTCATCTATTCCGTCTTTTTGGGATTGCAAGGATTTCTGAGCAGGAACTACCTCCTACAGCTCATTGTCTAGACAAAGGAGAAAAATCCAGACTGGGAGCACTGGCAATAAACACTACGAATAGTGAATACAGTTTATACTAAAATATTTTCATGAAAAGATAACAGACAGTATTTCCCTCCCCCAGTTTTCAAATAACTTAAGATTCTAAAAAGTGCTTACCAATTGGAGCACTGCAAATCATGATTTTAGATGAAATACCCTATTCTAAATTGAGAAAATTATCTGTAATGTTCCATTCTTTGCTTCTTTTACCACTGAAATAAGTCTAATTAATATGAGGATATGCTGATGTCAGGTACCTGGAACTGCCTGGAAAATGGAGCACACTCAGATTTTTTTCTTTCTGACAGGGCTGAACAAGTCCTATGATAAACGAACATTCTAGACATGCCGGTTGGCCTCCAAACTTCGGACTTTAGGCTTGAAATTGCAGTACTTCTCTGCTAATAGATTGCTTAGATGTTCAAATCATCCAAACTGTTATAGTAATTACAAAAGTTTAAAAAAAAGGTCAGGAACCATTTGGCCCTAAAGCTTTGGGTGAATAAATACAAAGTGTTTTGAATGGTTTCTGGAGTTGGGAATAGCATCCAGATGGATGTGAACTCTGTTTTCAAATTATAGTTTATAGAAATGAGGTCAGCACAACTCGTAGTCTTACCATTCAAATACGTTTGATGTCAATTACTCATATGTTTAACAACAGCATGGTGATCCCACAATCACTGGATGCAGTATGAAGACTAAGCAGCATCACTAATACTGTACTTAAACAACAAGATCCCATGTGTGTACCTTTAGTCCAGGTGCTCCCATGGGCCCTGGCATGCCTGGCAATCCCTTGGGACCTCGAGCTCCAGGATAACCTGCCAGACCTGGTAAGCCTGAGTTTCCTTTATTACCCTTAACAAATTGAAAATAATTGATTAGAAGAACAGCCAACCACGTTTTTTCATTGTATGCTAAAACAGGCAGATAACATAAGATTAGTGAAAGCCACTTAATACTTTCTATATACATGGACACACACTGATGGAACACCAAAATATATGGAAAGACAGTAACCAGCAGTATCATCTGGATTTCTGCTAATACTCCAAAAGCAAAATCCCATCATACTTATCAACAAAGCTACATGTGCTTTAACTGTGGGGTGGACTGAGGTTTCTGAGGAGTCAAGTTATTATGGTTTAAGAGCCACCTACTGTCAGCAAAGCAAACGCTAATCATGCCATAGCCCACTGAACTTCAGTTCAGCGTTCATGTTAAACCTTGTTCTGTCCTACCCTAAATATATTGTGATGTCATTTGTGTGGGATCACCTACCTAGACCTTGAAAGATTTCTGAGAACATTCAAGAGAACCAGTTGCCTCTTTGGGCTTATGCAAGGCATCTTCCCTATTAGCACCTTCCTAAATAGGAACAGTTGCCCGGTTGGATCACCAGCTTAGGCACCAATGATCTAGAAATAGTGAGCAATCTTTTGTCCACAGTAATTGTGTGTTCAATATACATGGAAGCACTCATAGGCATGCCGGTGACTGCTTTGACCTTGCACAGGGAATCACGCACAATAGTTTATAAAAGACCTGAAATTTTTCCCAGACCTAAAAATGTGCATGTTCAGATTCATAGCCTTTAGCACTGATCCCTATTTAACTCTTTCCTAAATCTATTTTGAAGTATGCAGGAAGAGAGCACTAATATCCATTAATTACAGAAGATGACTCTACGAGATGGTTCTCAGATGAGTGTTGTGTGATATCTGAGGATTCTGAGCTTACAATAAGGAGCTCCTCCTGATGAAAACAAGATGCTGAGTTCATTCATTACAGATGGTCTGAAAATCTGGTTGAGATTCACAGTATTCATTTTTTCAAGATGAACAAACTCCACATCAAGAAACAAAATGAGACTACCTTCCCACAGAAACCTTCAAAATTCAACACGCTTATTTATAAATACCAGACATACTGACAATACTAGTATGATTGTGTACACTCTGTAGCAATTAATATACAATAACTTTACCACATCAAGAAAGATCAGAATATTTGTTATGAAAATGTATGAGAAAGATCAGACTGTAAACAAAAGCAACTATTTTTAAATGAAAAGACATGTTACTGAGTACGTGGAGTTAAGCCAATTTTGACATGTTAAAAAATACTAAATGGAAATTTGCTACTATGCAAATGAATGTTTCTGTGATGTCATTTAGTAGAAGTATATACATACATATATCTTCTTTTTTATTTCATATGACATTCCATTAAGCATTCATAGAAATAAAAGGGGTTTGTGAAACAGGATTTTTATATTAGATGTGATTTTCAGGGCTTTTGAATATGGTACTGTGGCTTATAGCCTGATGGGCTGATAAACTTAAATAGTAAAAGTTCTGTTCTTTTTATTAATTGTGGCAAAAATCAGTTAAAAGACTCTATTATGAATTGTAATGCTACTATATATTGTTAATATGGAGTAATGGAGTCTTTTTTTTTTAATATGAAAGATGACATTTTGAGTGGAAAGGCAAAAATGTAAGAACTCTTTGGGGTGATACTGCTAAATCTAACTCTGAAGAAGTTTAAATACTTGACAGAGGTTCAGTGGACTTTGAAACTGGAGAGGCTTGAACAGAGTACATCTGCCCCCTACGGGTAACTTTAATTTTATCTTTGTTCAATCAGGTGGAAATTTATACTTGTAACAGTGTGTCCTGGGTTAAGCTGAGACAGCGTTAACTTTCTTCACAATATCTATCAAGAGGCTGTGTTTTGGATTTGTGCTCAGAAGAAAGCTGATAAAAAGTGATGTTTATGCGGCTGCCAAGGTCTTTCAGCTTCTCTGGCTGTCTGCGAACAGGAGAAGCTGGGAGGGAGCACAGCCCCAGTTACCAGCCCAGGATTTGATCTTAGGTTCGGGATTGAGACCCAGAGTGGCCAATAATCTATAACATACACGTCATGCCCAGTATATAGGTGAGGACCCTCTGGAAGATCGGCCCTTTTTGGTTCCGGATCTCTTTTGCTCCGGGTCATCTCACTCCAGGTGGTCGCTCTCCCAAGGCCTTCCCCCCCCACCCCAGTCAGCTCTTGGTCTGGGACACTTGGACTGTTATCTCCGTTCCGTGAGTGCGGTTTTGGGACTCTCCCTGCTTTGGGATCATTAGCTGGGAACAGGCTGAGCCTTGGTCATCGGGTGGGGGGGCAGTATCACTGTGTATCACTCATTTGTATATTTGTGTATAGTATTATTTGCAGTATTATTGTAGTTTAGTTATTAAATTGTCCTTATCTCAACCCACGTGTCCTTTTTTTCCCTTTACCTCCCCCCTGCTCCCGGGGGGGGGGGGGGGGGGGAGGAGGGTGATCGGGTGAGCGGGTGTGTGTGAGTTACAAATTCAAAGACAAGAAGGAAAATATGGGATTATGTCAGGGCCTGAGAGGAAACGGTCTCAGTTGGGGTCTGTGGCTGGCTCATTTTTGGGAACAGAACTGTGAAGCCTCTCTCATTAAGAAAGCATTTTCACTCAGCTGTAGTTACTACTAACGTATGCTAATGAAATAGTCCTTCTCACAGCACATTTCCCTTATGGTAACTTTACATCCTGGGCAGAATATCAGGAGCAAAAGAAAAAGAAAACAAAGAATTGGTCTAATTTTCAAGATGCTCAAGGAACACAGAATGGTTCCTTCTGTTTAAGTATCCTAACCTCAGAAAACTTGTAATGCAAAATGACATAAAGCGGGCTAATGCTGAAAGCAATTTACCTTAGGGCCAGGCTTCCCTGACAGCCCAGGCTT